TGAAACTTAGCCCAGAAATACAATCAAGAATCGAGAAGCTCGCTCTGTTCATTGGCTATTCACGGAGCGGCCACACACTGATCGGCGCGCTACTGGATGCTCATCCACATATAGTCATCTCAAACGAGTTGGATATTTTTGAACGGTGGCGAGAATGGACGGATGAGGAGAGAACTCGAGAGAATTTAATGAATAAAATTTACGAGAATAGTTATATACAAACTCAAGATGTGGGTTATAGGTCCGCTACAAAGCGAAACGGTCGCACTTATGCTGTACCAAACCAATGGCAGGGGAAATATAAGGATTATATAAAAGTAAGTTTTCCACTGGAAATACGATCCCTATTAATAGACCTTTCCCCTTATGAGTGAAATTTTGATCTAGACAAGTCTGGACAAAAATTTCATCACAGCTTGAAAGAGCATCACAAAATTAGTAATATTCCGAAGTTTCGTTGCGAAATAGTTGTAAAATGCGGATAATATAGCCTTGTGAAGTTTGCCGTTTTTCAGTCATTTTGTATTACAAACGGGAAATTGATAATCAGATGATCAAACTGAAAAACGGCAAACTTCGCAAGGCTATATTATCCGCATTTTACAACATTTCGCAACGAAACACCTCGGAATATTACTAATTTTGTGATGCTCTTTCAAGCTGTGATGAAATTTTTGTCTAGATCAAAATTTAGTCTATTATGCAAACGGTCCATTGAAAATGTTTACAAAGTAAATTACAAATCACAAGGCAACATGTGACGACATTTCTACTTATTAACACGCGTTGAAATCAGATTTTGTTGCAAGTTGCAGCAATTTTGTTCTCGCGTAACTCCAGCTTTAGACATGCGTTGCGCCATCATCAAGCGACTTAAATTTGAATCGAAAATGAGAATAATTTCAATAATCAGACAATAGCTTTACATTGTACTTGCAAGTGATGAACCAGGTGGGAATCGTAATCGTAGTATAAAGATGCCCAGCATAACGTACGCAAAAGAGCCATATAGACAATAATATAATATAAAAATTTATTTAAGGTTACAGAACACCTTTGAGTGTTAATTTTGCCTAAAATTTTTTTATTGGTTTCCATGAAAGCATTATAGACTAGTTCTACTATCTGACCAAGTTTGAACGGAAAATGTTGAAAACTCGCAGAGTTATTTAGTAAAATACATTTCGCTGCAATAAGAAAAACATTGAAAATGTAATATTCAAATTCAATTTTCTCCCGAAAAATTTTACGGTAATTA